TCTATGTCTCCAAAAAGATTTTTTTTTTTTTTTTTTTTAACCGACATGAGGTCCAAGCTAAAGCCAATTATCAAATTAGTTCTTGACGTAGTGGTTCACAGCCAGAAGAACTGGCTCCATTCTGACTAATTAAATCTGCTGGTCTACAAAAATAAATAAAATAAAAAAATTGTGATGGCACAAGAGGATTAATGCCATCACCAAGTAAAACTAAACACTTTCAACAGCCATCACAAGTAACATAAGTAGCAAGTAAAACTGATTTGATTTAAAAAAGGTTCAAGGATTTTATTGTTAATTCACCATGTGTGCAGGGCATACAGAAAATTGAAATACTGTTTTTGTCTCACCTAGTACTGGGTGCCATAACATTTAGGAACCAAAATAGAATAAAAATAGAATAGAATAGAATAGAGTAAGAACTGGATTAACATAATTAGGATAAATCTAAATGATACAGCCAATGAGCTGTGAAAGCTTCACTTTCGAGCCAGTGGAAGCTGTGCTGCTTTTATTTAAAAATGTATTTGGTTCCCTAGCACAGCATCACAATTTCAATCTCCATGATGGTGAATAAGCCTTAAGAGTATCCTGCACACTTCATTCAACTCCAAAAAACGTTTTGGGTTTTTAAAATGAATTTATGCTAAATACAGGTAATAAATATCCACTAACATAACAGCACTGAAAGTAAATTGATCATGCTCAAATCTCTAAAAATAGCTTGTATCAGAGGATTCTGTTTAATTATTAAAATCTCATTTCCCCAACAGGGACAGAAGCGCAGAGAAAACAATTTCTGTGTCTGTACAAGAAAGAATAATTGTATTTTCATTTTTTTAAACACGGCTGAATTACACAGAATTGTCAATCTAGTACCTTTTTGAATATTCTGGCAACATGGACAACTGCATCAGCAAACGGTTCTTACTGTGTTTGGCTGGAAGCAATAAAGACAACTAATGTATTATTGTTAAAGCTGGGAGGCCACATTGAGGCTCTGAGGAGCCATCAAAGCAAAATCTAAATGAAAAACAATGACGTTTGGTTCTCACCATCGATGTTGAGCATCATCTTCCACATAGCAGGTCGCACAGATTGATGGAAGCCAAACCAAACCTCCCTTCCTCCTCCTAGGGGATGGTCATAGCCCTCTGGAGCTGAGAAGAATGATCGACCCACTGGAGTGTACCTAGATGGAGAAAAGTGGCAATTATAAGAAAAGAGTAAAGACATAAAGAAGTAAAGAAGATAGAGATGAAAAAAGGGGTCGGAAAAAATAAGGTCACAAAAAAAGATGAGTATGAGAACATGAGGCAAGCTGGAAAGGTCACAAGAGTTGACAGGAAATGTAAGATTAGTTGACACAATCTGAATTGAGAATGTAGGTCAATATGTGCTTATATGGTGGCACATTCAACTGCTCTTCAATATGGCCCGAAACTACATCAGTGAAATGAGGCTGTGGCACTGCATGAATGCAATAACCTCTTATTACGCTGGCAAAGAGACACAATAATTGTACAGGAGCTACATTTTCTCGAATTCTGGATTGACAATGTGTCAAGGTGCCAATGTAATAAAGGGCCCCCCCGACACCTGCGCCCAGAGCTAAATGAAAGGTGTCGATATAAGCACTTTTAAAAAATGGTTTGAAAAAGCTTTTCATTAAAGCACTGGTGATATTGTGTTTGACTGTGCTCTTGCCAAGGCTTAGGTATTGAGTGATGCTGAATAAAAAATGGTATGAGGTCAAGTATGGTGCATCGTGAGAGCCCACATAAGCCATGTTTGATTTCTGTTGGAACCAGAGCGCTGACATTGGTAATACTACGGCAAAACATATAGCACTGACTATGAGTATCAAAGGGATCATTTAACTCTGGGCTCAATTTGTCTTTTTCCCCTTGACTGGGTTAGCTGTTTAAAGATCAACACTGTCCCCTAATGATCACAAACAATTACTGATTTATTAAATCCCTAGTAAATCAATAATTTGGCACTTTTTTCCATGAGAGTGAACCCAAAAGTCTGAACCTAAAAAAAAACAAACAAACACATCAGCAACTCACTTCATGGAGGGCAGGTGTCGCAGCACCACGTCCACTGCATGTACAGGGTTGGTGCTGATGGGCTTGTCCAGCTCCAGGGGCTCTGGCATGCTGCGGCCGGTCAGTACCTCATGAAGCATGTGCCAGCTGACCAGAGAAACAAACTTGATGGAAACTTTGAAGGGACGATCTTTCCCTCCCTCACCTGGTAGAGTGACATCCAGGTCCACCTTTGGGGGAGGGGAGAGAACAAGAGCGGGCACACAGAAAAAGTTAGATCCCCTAGTGAAGATAGGTTGCAAGTGGTGATTGTTGATGTTTTATGTACTTTTGTATGTGCTAGAAGTGTGCATGTGTGACCACTGTGGGAAGTGAACATATGAGGCCCAATATACTGCAACACGTCTTGTTTTGATAATTCTTTTGTTGTATATGTTTAGATTTGATAAGTCATGTATTATCTGTTAATGTCTATGTTCGAATGAATGCAGGCTTAGTGAAAAGACAAAGATTACAGTCCTTGCTCTATCAGTGGAAATTTACCTAAGGTGACTTATTCAATAAAGAAACACATAAGGCAAACAACCTATATGTGTTTCATTGCACAGAAAAGTTACTGAGGAAACTAACAAGGCAGTTAAGGATGAATCATTAACACCCAGAATGAATGTGTGTTTCTCTTTGGTTGACTAAGTGAAAGGGTAGAGGCAGAGGGTGTTGACAAAATAAAGCCAGGCTTAAGATCCTTGTAAGTGAACAACCACTTTTTGCGGTCACATTCTTCCCCCATGCCACATGAATTAGAGATCTGATTCATCACATAGACTCTCAAACATACAAGAATTTTCATGACAGTTCTCCAACTACAGCAGGTTTCAGTTTGGTTTGTGTAGCTATCACATATGGTTTGCTTTCAGGTGGGGCTGAGGTGAAGCAATACGTTTGTGTGTTTGCCATCTGCAAGCTCACCCCGGTAGGTGCCACAGGCAGTGGGTTGGCTGTGTATAGGCTCCTCTTTCCATCATAGACCGGCCTGCGATCCCCAAAGATTGTCACCTTGAAGTGCTGCACCATAGAGTCAACCACCTCCCTGCACAACATCCACACAAACTGATTTTCAATCATACTGGATCTTCTAAAACACTGATATGTTTAACATGTTACAAAGAATGTTTAAAATGTCACAGAACAAACCATTAGTAAGAAGAGCTGTGAACTTATGGGCACAAACTCAAACCTAGCAATAGCTAATATGTGTGTCTACAACAATTTATCCTTTGGCAAGGCAATGCAACCCTGTGTGCTCACTGTGTGTAAGAGGAGTTTTAAAGACAGCAGCTAGAGGGCACGTCCCACCTGTTGACTCGCCGTGGGCACTTGTCAGGCTTGATGTCCACCTCGTACAGGTAGACATCCATCTTGGGGATCTCCACCTGGAAGCAGTTGGCCAGCAGCTTGATGGGCTTCCCCATGGTGCCATAGCCAGGCCTCCGAGGCATGGAGAACAGGGACTGGGCCCCAACGGCTCCTGAGAGAACAAGAAAGAGAAATAAAATAGTACATGTTTAATGGTCTGTATTAGCCTAGTTTGTATATTTAATACATTTTAAATTCAAATGTAATACCTTTGTATTTGTGATACAGTATTGTTCAAAATAATAGCAGTACAATGTGACTAACCAGAATAATCCAGGTTTTTAGTATATTTTTTATTGCTACATGGCAAACAAGTTACCAGTAGGTGCAGTAGATTCTCAGAAAGCAAACAAGACCCAGCATTCATGATATGCACGCTCTTAAGGCTGTGAAATTGGGCAATTAGTTGAAAGGGGTGTGTTCAAAAAAATAGCAGTGTCTGCCGTTGACTGTACAAACACAAAACTATGTTGTACAAACGTTTTTGTTTCTAGGATTTAGCAATCCTGTGAATCACTAAACTAATATTTAGTTGTATGACCACAGTTTGTTATAACTGCTTCACATCTGTGTGGCATGGAGTCAACCAACTTGTGGCACCTTTCAGCTGTTATTACACTCCATGATTCTTTAACAACATTCCACAATTCATTTACATGTCTTGGTTTTGCTTCAGAAACAGCATTTTTGATATCACCCCACAAGTTCTCGATTGGATTAAGGTCCGGGGATTGGGCTGGCCACTCCATAACATTAATTTTGTTGGTTTGGAACCAAGACTTTGCTCGTTTACTAGTGTGTTTGGGGTCATTGTCTTGTTGAAACAACCATTTCAAGGGCATGTCCTCTTCAGCATAAGGCAACATGACCTCTTCAAGTATTTTGACATATGCAAACTGATCCATGATCCCTGGTATGCGATAAATAGGCCCAACACCATAGTAGGAGAAACATGCCCATATCATGATGCTTGCACCACCATGCTTCACTGTCTTCACTGTGTACTGTGGCTTGAATTCAGAGTTTGGGGGTCGTCTCACAAACTGTCTGTGGCCCTTGGACCCAAAAAGAACAATTTTACTCTCATCAGTCCACAAAATGTTCCTCCATTTCTCTTTAGGCCAGTTGATGTGTTCTTTGGCAAATTGTAACCTCTTCTGCACGTGCCTTTTTTTTAACAGAGGGACTTTGCGGGGGATTCTTGAAAATAGATTAGCTTCACACAGACGTCTTCTAACTGTCACAGTACTTACAGGTAACTCCAGACTGTCTTTGATCATCCTGGAGCTGATCATTGGCTGGGCCTTTGCCATTCTGGTTATTCTTCGATCCATTTTGATGGTTGTCTTCCGTTTTCTTCCACGTCTCTCTGGTTTTGCTCTCCATTTTAAGGCATTGGAGATCATTTTAGCTGAACAGCCTATAATTTTTTGCACCTCTTTATAGGTTTTCCCCTCTCCAATCAACTTTTTAATCAAAGTACGCTGTTCTTCTGAACAATGTCTTGAACGACCCATTTTCCTCAGGCTTTCAAATGCATGTTCAACAAGTGCTGGCTTCATCCTTAAATAGGGGCCACCTGATTCACACCTGTTATTTCACAAAATTGATGACCTCACTGATTGAATGCCACACTGCTATTTTTTTAACACACCCCTTTCAACTAATTGCCCAATTGCACAGCCTTAAGAGCGTGCATATCATGAATGCTGGGTCTTGTTTGCTTTCTGAGAATCTACTGCACCTACTGGTAACTTGTTTGTCATGTAGCAATAAAAAAAATGTACTAAAAACCTGGATTATTCTGGTTAGTCACATTGTACTGCTATTATTTTGAACAATACTGTATGTTTGTTTATAAAAGACATTTATAGTTTATTTTCTGTTAATTGAACCATTTAAATTTATAAAATACCCTGTCTAGATATCTTTGTCACCATTTAATATCAATACCTTAGGTATCCTGGCCAAAACAATGCTTGTGTCATGAATTAATATAGAAAATGAACACGCACTGAAGATCACATTTTTTTGCCCTCAAATATCAATAACAGGAAACAAAAACCTTTATTAATTGGGCTCTGCAGACAGAAAGGGAAACCATCAAGCTGTACAAAAGTTAGAACTAAGTGATGCCAGGAGTATGAAATGTACTACTGTGTACTGTGCCCATCTTTCAACTACGCTGCTGTGGTTTGTTAGCATTGGTTGATAAACACACACACAAACACGTGTGCACGCACTAACAAGTGCATAATGGTATAAACTGTAAAACAGTGAAATTCCAAATGTCAAGATAAGATGCTGTACAGGGGAAACACCAAGAACACCCCCTAGACTCTTAACACCTTAAATTTGATCTGAGAAAAATGCAAAAATGTATCAAGAGAATAAAACTGAACAAAACAGGAAGTGTTGTGGAAATACTGTAAATGTGCAACCTGATGTGAAAATGACAGACACATGAGATGATTCCATCATTTCCTAGTGTGTAAATGTTTCATGATAGGATTTTACTATTTGATTGTAGTGCTACTCACAACAGAACATGTTCTTGACAATCTACTTTCAGTATGATTTCCATAATCTTCATATTTGTTCCATGCACACATACACTCACATAAAGACCATGAGATGTCTTAGACATGAGTCACTTTGATCCACAAATAGTGTATTCTCTTCAACCTCTTGTCCCACACTCTTGTCTGTGTATTTCTGGGTCTGCTGAGGTTTGGCCTCAACACCATACTTAAGAGAAAGAATGATTTTGCTGACATTCAACATGTTTGGATCAAACATCTGCTTCTATTATTATACAACAGACAGCACAACACAAACACTCAAGACTAGACTCATCTATTTGCCTGGAAAATGTTGCTTTGTGTATGCCCCCCTAAAGACCCCGTGGCCTTTTTTCTTTTTCAGTTTTATTCAATAGTCTCATTCTGTGGCTGAGTGTGATTCATCGGCTTACATGTGTGGGTGATGTTTGTGTTGAGGGTCCGCCTGAGAGGAAGTTCATAATAACCTCACAACAAAGCAGAAATCTTCTGTGAGGTAACAGCAGACAACATGAGCAACCCTGTTTGTTTACAGTTGGGCTTTGGAAGTATGTGTTCGTTTCTCCTCTGGGCTGCGGAGAGGAGGTTAACAGGGTTGATAGAGGGTGGAAGCCCGAAACTTGACTTGACTTGAAACTGCCTGCTCGGATAAAACAATGAAAACAAGAGGAAAAGTCTGCCACGGGTGTTGATCTCACATGAAACTATGTGCACATGAACTTTTGTAGTGGTAATTTCTATTGGGCGTTCAGTGAACCTTGCGAGGAAAGCCCAGTTTCACACACGCAAGAGTGACAGAAGCAGTTAAGAAAGATATTCTAAGAAGTCTTCATTAAAGCAGAAATTAGCTCATCTATCACAAATTGTGACCTGTCATAATTCAGTCAATTTTAGAAAAGAACTCACTGGTGTACACTTCAAGAGGGTCTTCAATTAACAGCAACATGTTTCTCTGCGCTGTGATTCTCCTGATCAAAATGGCAAATAGGTGGAGAATAGGTACAGGAAGTGGCAGGATTAGTGGGCAAGGTTGGTATTTTCTGGTCTCTGTACTGGCTTCCATTCACCATGAGTCACAGAACTAGCACTGGTAGAGAAACACAATAGATCATCCAGCTTCTGGGCTCAGCTGTAGATGAGTATCAGTAGCCATTAAGGGATCTTACAAGAAGAAAAAAAATAAAAAAATCATCATACAGGAGCATGTTTGTGTTCCACCCACTTGCAAACACAAAGCCACTTTGTTTCATTTTTGTATGAAACCTACACACACAGACATACACCTGCATTGTAGCTGCAGCTTCGCAGATATGTTGAAAAAAAAGTGTGTACATTTCCCATAATGCACAATAACTTTTGGCATTTTGCACACACACAGTCTCCCTGATGTTTTTCAAAACAGACACAGTAGTCAGGTACACTGACTTTACATAGTGCAAACCTCCAATAACTAACTAAATAAATAAATAATTGAAAATATGGCTGACAGCAAAGACTGAGCTCCTGTACTACCTGCAGTCATGACTTCTGTTCAGCTAGTTGTTCCAACAAAACAACAGGCAACAAACAAGTTGTGTGGGTCTAATCAAAACGCCGGCCCCTTCACCGTGATATCTGGCTAGCTTGTCTCTGCATTCTTTGGC